ATCATGCATATTTTGTGTTTCAGGGATATTTTCTGTTATTCAGTTACAGGGGCATTTTCAACTAATAGCAAGGGAGTAATTACCCTTTGAATGAACGCTCTCTTTGTCAAAGTTCTATCAGTTATCATTGGGAGGTGGCTCACACCTTTTTGTGCAAGCACCCGGTTACACTTTACCCAGAACAATGTTATAAAGTATCTGTCCATTCCAGTACTCCAGATTCTAGCCTATGATCTTCAAATCCCATTCTCTGTGTGGGCTCAAGCAATCACCTTGTTCAAATTTAGAATGTCTAATTAATATTGCACATTACTAGAGATAACAGGAACATATCTTAAGATCATGAAAGCTACCTGTGCTAAGCTCCAGGCCAACATCATTCTAAATGCAGAAAAATTGAAAGCATTTGCTCTAAAAACTGGAACAAGAAAAGGATGCCCTCTTTCACCACTTCTATTTAATATAGGTCTTGAAACACTGGCCAGAACAATTAGACATACAAAAGAAATTAAGGGATACAGAACTCAAATTAGCACTATTTCTCGACAATATGATTCTATACCTAGAAGATCCAAAAATTCCACCAGAAAACTTCTAGAACTAATAAATGAATTAGGCAAAATAGCAGGATACAAAATAAACATCCATAACTCAAAGATATTTCTGTACATTTGTGACAAATCCTCTGAAAGGGAAATGAGGAAAACTACACCATTTACAATAGCCTCAAAAAATTTAAAATACTTGGCAATCAACCTCTACAATGAAAACTACAGAATGCTAAAGAAAAAATTAAATAAGACCTTAGAAGACAGAATTATCTTCCTTCTTCCTGGATAGCCAGAATTAATATTGTCAAGATGACTGTACTACCAAAAGCACTATACAAACTTAATGCTTAATTCCAATCAAAATTCCAATGGCATTCCTCATAGAAATAGTAAAAGCAGTCATGATATTCATCTGGAAAAATAAGAAATGCAGAAAAGCTAATAAAGCAATCCTTAGCAAGAAGAGTGAAGCAGGTGGCATCATTATACAAGATCTTAACTATTCTACAGAGCAATAGTAACAAAAACAGTATGGTATTGGTACCAAAACAGGCTAGTAGAGTAATGGTACAGAATAGAAGACACAGAGACTAACCCACAAAATTACAATTATCTTATATTAGACAAAGGTGCCAAAAACATGAACTGGATAAAAGATAGCCTCTTCAATAAACAGTACTGGGAAATCTGCAAATCCATATGCAACAAAATGAAAATAAACCCCTATCTCTCACCATTCTCAAAACTCAACTCAAAGTGGATCAAGGACCTAGGAATTAAACTAGGAACTCTGCATCTAACAGAAGAAAAAGTAGGCTCAAATCTCTATCATGTCGTATTCTTAATAAGACTCCTATAGCACAAGAATTAAAATCAAGAATCAAAAATGGGATGGATTCAAACTAAAAAGCTTCTTTTCAGCAAAACAAACAATCAGTGAGGTAAATAAAAAGCCTACATCTTGGGAGCAAATATTTACCACTCATATATCAGATAGAGCACTAATCTCTAGAATACTTAAATAACTCAAAAAGCTAAACACCACAAAGCAAATAACCCAAACAGTAAATAAAAAGCCTACATCTTGGGAGCAAATATTTACCACTCACATATCAGATAGAGCACTAATCTCTAGAATACTTAAATAACCCAAAAAGCTAAACACCATAAAACAAATAACCCAATCAGTAAATGGCCCAAGGAACTGAACAGACACTTCTTAAAAGAGTATGGACAATCCATCAACAAACACATGAAAACATGTTCAACATCTCTAACAATTAGAGAAATGCAAATCAAAACTACTCCAAGATTTCATCTCACTCCTGTCAGAATGGCAGCTATTAAGAATACAAACAACAGTTAAGTGTTGGCGAGAATGTGAGGGGAAAATGCCCACTCATAGATTGCTGGTGGGATGGCAATTTGGTGCAGCCAATCTGGAAAGCAATATAGAGATTCCTTGGAAAACTAGGAATGGAACCACCATTTGACACAGCTATCCCAGTTCTTGATCTATACCCAAAGGACTTAAAAACAGCATACTACATGGACACAGACACATCGATGTTTATAGCAGGACAATTCACAATACCTAAATTGTGGAATCAACCCAGATGCCCTAGAGTAGATGAATGGACACAGAAAATGTGGTATATATATCCAATGGGATACTACTCAGCAGCAAAACAGAACAAAATCATGGCATTTGCAGGCAAATGAATGGAGTTGGAGATTAAATGAATTTAGCAAATCCCCCCAAAAAACAAATGCTGACTATTCTCTCTGACATAGGGAGGCTGATTCATCCTGCGGTTGGGAGGGGGAACATGGGAGGATTAGATGAACTCTAGATAGGGCAAAGGAATAGGAGGGAAAGGGAGAAGGCAGAGGGGTACAAAAGACAGTGGAATGAGATGGACATCATTACCCTAAGTACATGTATAAAGACATGAATGATGTGAATATACTTTGTACACAACCAGAGATATGACAAATTGTGCTCTATATGTGTAACTTGAATTGTCATGCATTCTGTTGTCATATATAAGAAATTAGAATAAAAATTTTTTAAAAAGACGACACTTACCAGCTTCTGTTGTACAGCACTAGTTAAAAAAATTCCTCAAACAGTATCTATCTCCATAAAACAGTTCAATGAAACACAATATTCTCATGAAGAATTTAAAACATTTGTTTTCATCCACAATTTTCCTTTAATTCTACCAAACCTGGCAGATTTCTATCCTCTCAAGCTAAGTATACCCTAATTAGATATTCCCCAGTGGGTTTGGTGCATGGGGATCCTGTGTGAAAGAGTCCCAGAAATATCTATTTTCAATCTTTGGACCATTTTTTCACTCTTTTGTGTACATAAGAGAACTTCTCCTTTCCATCAGGCCTTGTGCTGATCAGATGGTGGGACTATTTTCCCAGGAAACTCAGGGTCAAGTTTTCTGGATTCAAACCAACTAGGTTGGACAAAGTAGATTCTTTCTTGGGACAATCTGGGAGATCTTATGGGGCCACACAACTTCTGGGAGTCTTGTACTAAGCTTTGCTATTTACTCTATCAATATCTGATTTCTTCATCCCATTTATTAAGAACTGTTTAAAGCCTGCTGATATGACTCTCTCCTTGACTCTCTTGACTCTACTCTGTCCTTGCTTATTCTCTTGGGAATTTTCCTAGCCTTCTTATGTCTGTGAAGAAGGCTAGGAAGAAAACTATGCTGAAACTTCTGTCTGTGAAGTTTCAGCATAGTTTCCCCTTTGGAGAAGATTCTGATGCTAAGAGTTGCATATAAAGTTTTCTGGAAGAGAAACAACCCACTGTAATCATCTTTCCCAAAAGGGGTTCTCAGTTAAAGGCTACAGTTTGCTGAGGTCACCATATAAGCTTGGTCCATCCCTTTCTTCCACTGAAGACATGACAAGTATCAATAACCAAAGCATTTTATATTTAACTCTTGTTCCTTTGTATTTCCTTATGCATCCAGCAGGCCAACCTCAGTTGTTGGATTTGTCAAAAGCTACTTATCTATGGAAGGATTAAATAGAGACCTACTGTGAACAGTAGAGGAAATTATAATTTACCAACTCAGAATCTTCAAAAACAGAGCAATTAATAAGGAAAATAAGTAGCTATAGCTTTGATCCTACTTAAAACATAAACCTTTCATGCTGATGATAGGAGCTTTGTGGGCAGCAGTGAGGTAATTCCTGCTGCAAATCCACCAGTGCTTTTTGATCTAGAGAGTGGTGATATTCCCTGGAAACAATCCCCAAGACCTCCTAAAGAGACAGATTGCTTCTCAGCAGTGAGAAGGCACTGTCCCGCTGAATGGCTCTTTGGGTGCATCCCCTGAGAATGGCTGACCTTGTTCCATCCTTCGGCACTGGTGCCCACACCATGCAGACTCTTGGTTACTGTTTTTGTTAACACTGTTGTTGAGGTGTAACTGTGAAATTAAATTTGTATACATTGATGTACAGAACATGAGGTTTGGATACACTGTGAAATGATCAGCACAAATTACTGAACTTATCTTTCAGCTCAGTCACCATTTTCTTCTGAGTGTGTGTGTGTGTGTATGTGTATGTGTGTGTGTGTATTGAGAATACCCAAGATCTACCCCCTTAGCAATACCCAAGATCTACCCCCTTAGCAATTTTTAAACAGCCCATATTATTAACTGTAATCACCATGCTATTCATTAGCTCTTTAGAAATTCTCCATCGTGTATAATCTTTATAACCTTAACCAACATCACCTATCCCTTTTCCCCTATCAACAGCCCTCATGTCCACCATGGACTCTCTGCTTCTATGAGTTTGACTATTTTAGGTTTCACACAGAAGTGAGATCAAGCAGTATCTCTCTTTCTGTGTCTGCTGATCTCAGTAGCATGATGTCCTCAGGAATCCATGCTGTTACAAATGAGAGGATTTTCTTTTTAAGACTGAATAATAGCCAGGTGTTCTGGCACACTCTTATAATCCCATAAGCTTTGAAGGCTGAGGCAGGAGGATCATGAATTCAAAGCCAGCCTCAGCAACTTAGCAAGACCCTAAGTGACTTAGGGAGATCTTGTCTCTAAATAAATAATTAAAAAGGACTTGGCGGGCTGGGGATGTGGCTCAAGAGGTAACACGCTCGCCTTGTATGCGCGGGGCACTAGGTTTGATCCTCAGCACCACATAAAAATAAAATAAAGATGTGTCCACTGAAAACTTAAAAATAAATATTAAAAATTTCTCTCTCTCTCTCTCTCTCTCTCTCTCTTACAAAAAAGGGGGTGGGGAGCTTGGGAAGTGGCTAAGGGGTAAATTGCCCCTGGGATAAACCCCCATTTATGAAGGAAAAAAATGATTGAATAATATTATCATTCTCACTCTCTCAATACCTACCCTATCATACGCGCGCGCACACACACACACACACACACACACACTCTTCACATATTCTTTATTCATCGACAAACAAATGGGGGGTTGCTAGATCAATTATATGGCAGTTCTTTCAAGTTTTTGAAAAAATTTCATAATGTTTTCCATTATGCCTTAGGAACTTCTCTAAGAGAGGAATGCACCAGGACTCATGTCCAGCCTTACAGTAGTTGCTTAAAGTCTTTATTTCTTCATATTGTTGCTGTTGTTAAGAGAACACAAACAGCAATTCAGAGTATGGCTTGTTTATCCTAAATATAGAACTTCTCTTGATTTCTCTTGGTGGATAGTCTAGTCTATAGCAAATCCTACTTTAATACAAGCATATATTTAGCAGTTTGGTATTTGTTAATGTTTTACATATTTAAATATTTTTACTATGAAATATAATTAATTTATCATACATATCTATGTAATTCACTCATAATATTACCAACGTAACACTAAAACAATCATTAGCCCCACAGATCTTTCATTTTCTCAGTAGTATGATATCAACGTCTAAAGTATACTTCTACTCATGCATGGATCTCTCTGCATGCAAACAAATTAAATTAGGTTTGAAATGAAAATCAGATTACTGACACATTAAGTCTAACAATTCCACATGAGTCTTAAAGACAGCAGCACTGAGCTGGTGGTGTTGCTGTGTGCTGGAATGCTTAGCTATCATGTCCATGGCCCTGGGTTCCATTCTCAGCACCTCCAAAGCAAAAACCAGAATCAGTGCTGCTAAATGTCTAGGGCTGACTAATGTTCCTCCTATTCAAGACAGTTTTGCACCTTAACTATTAACCTCTGCTTACATTTTGTCCTGGTTCTAAGGTTTCATCTTGGGAGATCAAATTTTTCGTGGTGAGAGAGAGGGTTGAGCCCTGACTTTTCTACAGTTGGAAAATTCATCACAAAAGCATCAGAACCTGCAGCCAGAAATCTGCAGTGCCTTTGAGAGTAACAGGAAACATGTCTTCTTTTTCTGGAGGTCCCATGAGGCACTTGGGGACACTCTGCCTCAGGCAAGAAATCTGAGTATGTGAACAATCCTAAGAAAATGAGGAAAAGAAAGAGGGTTTGTGATTCCTCCTCTCAGAATATTCAACTTGGAATACCCTCCATCAGCTCTCTGCCATCACAGATGCAAGACCTGGCCAAGCCCTCATGATGAACCTGAGCTCAGGAAGCTCATTCCCTGCTGAGGCAAGGAGGAGGCCAAGGGGAATGCTGGGTCCTTCTCAACTGCACCTTAGTATTTCAAGGTTACCTTTTTCTGGAAGCCCCTGTTCTGGCGTTACCTGCCACTTGAGTTCTGTGAGACTTCTAACAACTCATGAGATTTCCACTGCTAACTTACCTCAGGAGCTGGATTGGCTTCAGTCCCCTCCCAGACTGGCATCTTTGGTGCACTATCAAGAAGCTGCAAGTCTTAAATATCTGAGGACTGAAGGTGTCTCACTGTTGCAGCTCTGAAAAAGAATGGGAGGAAGCTGCCTTTGTGTCAGGCAAGTTGCTTCCTTTCTGATCCACTGGACGTGGGAACACTGACAGCTTACTGACTCATGGTTATTATTTTTGATCATTTTCCCTTCTCCTGTTTGGAAGTATTTATGATTTTTATAACTGAAAAAAAAGTATTGGTATGGTAGAATTCATGCAGTTTAGAATCAGGTAAGTTAAATTCACTACAAACCTAATCATAATTCATCCTTCCTATTTCCCTGTTAAAAAAAATGTGTTGTGGCAGAATCCTTCAAGAAGTAAACCAGGTAAAATGGTTCTAAATTATCAGAAATAATAATTGGTAACAGAAATTGTATATTGGAAGTGAAAAACTGAGGAGTAAACATCAAGAGTCCCATAGCAGCATCAAGAGTCTCCTAGCAGGGTCAAACCCAGCAGTTCACACTGCATGCTCTTGTTCACCAAGTATCTGTTAGAGCGCAAAGTCTTTCTTATCATAACTCATAGGATGTCTACACCTTGACACCAAAATGTGTTTATTTGAATTTTTATTTCACATTCCCAACTCATTTTTCATGAGGCAAAGTTAATTTGCAACTCATGGTGTACTTAAATGTTACAGTATCTTATGGTTTAGATTTTAGGTGTCCCCCATAAGCTCATGTGTGAGATAATACAAGAATATTTTGAGATGAAATGATTTGGTTATGACAGCTTTAAGACAATTAGTGCATCAATCCCCTCATAGTGATTAACAGAGTGGTGACTACAGGCAGGTAGGGTGTGCCTGAAGAGGTGGGTCATCTGGGAGGGGCATGCTTTGATATACATTTTGTGAGCTGAGCTTATTTCTCTATGCTTCCTGATCATGTCCTGAGACACTTTTCTTCACCACACTCTTCCACCATGATGTTCTGCCTCACCTTAACCCCCAGAGAAATGGAGGCAGCTGTGTATGAACTGAGACCTCTGAAACTGTGATCCCCCAAAAGAAAATTTTCCTCTAATTATTTATGTCATGTCTTTTGTTCATAGCAATGAAAAAGCCTAAAACACACTGGTTCCCTCTTATCAAAGATTTCACTTTCCCCTGAGTATATAATATATATGAATATATAATCTACTGTCACATATATCTAAGACAAATAAAAAATGATTTTACTTTCTATGCTTTCACTTACCTATGAACTACCTATGTGATTCAAAATCACAGAAATAAACAATGTATAAGTTTTAAATTGCTCCCTCTCTGAACAGAATGATGAAATCAGGCAATATCACTCTCTATCCTGACCATGAATTATATCATACCTTCAGTCCAATGGGTTCATGCTCTATAGGCTACCTACCCATCATTCCCTTGACAACCATCTGGCCATGAGATAAGCTGGGGGGAATTGCACTGCTTGTAGATAGGGGTCAGTACTATTTATAGTTTCAGAAATCCACTGGAGATCTTGGAACAGGTCCTCCAAGATAAGGGGGTGTACTGTGTTCCTAAAATTATCAATAATCTCTTCATACTTAGCATTTGAAGTCTTTCTTTTGGAACTAAAACAAAATTGGAACATCTTTGAGGGAATTTCCTTTTTTTAATATTTATTTTTTTAGTTGTAGTTGAACACAATACCTTTATTTATTTATTTATTTTTATGTGGTGCTGTGAGGATCGAACCCAAGGTCTCATACGTGCTGGGACAAGTACTCTACCACTGAGACCCCAGCCCCAGGGAAATTTCTTTTTCATAGGTTTCTCTGATATCTCTCAGCTTTGGAGACATGAGGTTATATCATTTCTGTTTTTTCACATAAACTACTTCCTCTGCTGGGTATCCTGAAACTGTCTGACTTTTGCACCATTCCCAACTCTGTAAAGAAGGGCATTCACTCACATCTCTCCCTCTTCCTGATAAGCTGCACATCACACTGGCATGTCTCCTTCAGTTCACTCTCCATGACCCCAGATGATGGCTCCAGCATCAGTTCTGACTTTTATCCTAGGCTTCATTTTATTGAGTCAGTTCACACCTGTGTTCAGCAGAGGACAGCAGAAAGATAACTGGACAGTGATTATGGGTTCATTCTGACTCCTGCTCTATGGGATTCTACTGGCATGTTCTAGTGTCTGGAGGTGCAAGGGACTCACTTGATTGTGGCAGAGATGTACAGTATGGAGAGTGCTCAGGGATTAGGAGAGACTGGGATTTTCCCCTCTGTGTGGCACGAGGAGACACGGTTATTACAATCCAAACATTTCCCGCCAAAATTAACAACATTGATCATATTCTCATATACATAAATATATATTAAGTATCTGAGTTATTGTATATAATATACATTAGATATAGCATACCAATTGAAGAAATAAATTAGAAATTTTCTATAACACATCAATATGGGCTGATATTTTGGAAAAAATGGAGAAAAGTGAAATAGGCTTTTAATAACAACAAAACAACTGACAAAGAAACAAACCTGCATTCTATATTAGAAGGCCTTTAGTTACCAGAAAACAAACTAATTACAAGAATGTTTGAAGAAAAACTGTTAGAAGACATGAATATACTTTCCAAGTTAGAAAAGGAACAAAGAAAATGCAAACAAAAGTTAATAATGTATGCTTCAAGGATGAAAGTTTCAATTATTTGGGGAGATAAACATATGCTTTTTAAATTTTTTTTAGTTGTCAACATGAACTATGACTTTATTTATTATTTTATTTATGTGAACCCAGTGCCTCACACATGCTACACCAGTACTCTACCACTGAGCCAAAATGCTAGCCTACAATTTTTTATTGACTTTTAAAAAATAAATGATAGCAGAATACATTACAATTCATATTACACATATAGGGCACAATTTTTCATATCTCTGGTTGTATAAAAAGTACGTTGACACCCAATTCATGTCTTCATACATGTACTTTGGATAATGATGTCCATCACATTCCATCATCCTTGCTAACCCCATGCCCCCTCCCTTCCCCTCCTACCCCTCTGTCCTATCTCAAGTTCGTCTATTCCTCCCATGCTCCCTCTCCCTGCCCCACTATGAGTCAGCCTCCTTATATCAAAGAAAACATTCGACATTTGTTTTTTTGGAACTGCCTAACTTCACTTAGCATTATCTTCTCCAATGCCATCCATTTACCTGCAAATGCCATTTTATTCTCTTTTATAGCTGAGTAAAATTCCATTGTGTATATATTCCACATTTTTTAATCCATTCATCTATTGAAGGGCATCTAGGTTGGCTCCACAATTTAGCTATTGTGAATTGTGCTGCTAGAAACATTGATGTGGCTGTGTCCCTGTAGTAAGCTGTTTTAAAGTCCTTTGTGTATAGACCGAGAGGGATAGCTGGGTCAAATGGTGGTTCTATTCCCAGATTTCCAAGGAATCTCCATACTACTTTCCATATTGGCTGCACCAATTTGCAGTCCCACCAGCAATGTACGAGTGTACCTTTTTCCCCACATCCTTGCCAACACTTGCTATTGTTTGTATGCATAATAACTACCATTCTGACTGGAGTGAGATAAAATCTTAGTTTTGATTTGCATTTCTCTAATTGCTAGAGATGATGAACATTTTTTTCATGTATTTGTTGATTGATTGTATATCCTCTTCTGAGAAGTATCTGTTCAGGTCCTTGGCCCATTTATTGATTGGGTTATTTGGTTTTATGGTGTTTAGCTTTTTGAGTTCTTTATATACCTTAGTGATTGGTGCTCTATCTGATGTGTGAGTGGTAAAAATTTGCTCCCAAGATGTAGGCTCTCTATTCACCTCAGAGATTGTTTCTTTTGCCGGGAAGAAACTTTTTAGTTTGAATCTATCCCATTTAATGATTCTTGATTTTAATTTTTGAGCTATAGGAGTCTTATTAAGGAAGTCAGGGACTAATCCAACATGATGATTAGGGCCTACTTTTTCTTTTATTAGACACAGGGTCTCTGGCTTAATTCCTAGGTTCTTGATCCACTTTGAGTTTTGTGCATGGTGAGAGACAGGGGTTTAATTTCATTTTGTTGCATATGGATTTCCAGTTTTCCCAGCACCATTTGTTGAAGAGGCTCTCTTTTCTCCAGTGCATGTTTCTGGCACATTTGTCTAAGACAAGATAATTGTAATTTTGTGGGTTAGTCTCTGTGTCCTCTCTTCTGTACCATTGGTCTACCAGTGTGTTTTGGTGCCAATATCATGCTGTTTTTGTTACTATTGCTCTGTAGTATAGTTTAAGTTCTGCTATAGTGATGCCGCCTGCTTTGCTCTTCCTGCTAAGGATTGCTTTAGCTATTCTGGGTCTCCTATTTTTTCAGATGAATTTCATGATTGCTTTTTCTATTTCTATGAGGAATGTCATTGGGATTTTGATTGGAATTCATTAAATCTGTATAGTGCTTTTGGTAGTATGGTCATTTTGATAATATTAATTCTGCCTATCCAAGAGCAAGGTAGATCTTTCCATCTTCTAAGGTCTTCTTTGATTTCTTTCTTTAGGGTTCTGTAGTTTTCATTGTATACATCTCTCACTTTTTTCTTTAAGTTGATTTCCAAGTATTTTATTTTTTTTTCTTTTTTGAGGCTATTGTAAATGGGGTAGTTTTCCTCATTTCCCATTTAGAGGATTTGTCACTGGTATACAGAAATACCTTTGATTTATGGGTGTTGATTTTATGTCCAGCTACTTTGCTGAATTCATTTACTAGTTCTACAAGTTTTCTGGTGGAACTTTTAGGGTCTTCTAGGTATAGAATCATATCATCAGAAAATCGTGCTAATTTAAGTTCTTCTTTTCCTGTATGTATCCCTTTAATTTCTTTCATCTGTCTACTTGTTCTGGACAGTGTTTCAAGAACTATGTTAAATAGAAGTGGTGAAAGAGGGCATCCCTGTCTTGTTCCGGTTTTTAGAGGGAATGCCTTCAATTTTTCTCCTTTTAAAATGATAGCCTTTATGATGGTGAGATATGTTCTGGTTGTCCCTAGTTTTTCCTAGTGTTTTGAACATAAACGGTGCTGTGTTTTGTCAAATGCTTTTTCTGCATCTATTGAGATAATCATATGATTCTTATCTTTAAGTCTATTGATGTGATTAATTATATTTATTAATTTCCATATGTTGAACCAACCTTGCATACCTGGGATCGTGGTGCACTATCTTTTTGATATATTTTTGTATTCGATTTGCCAGAATTTTATTGAGAATTTTTGCATCTATGTCATAAGAAATATTGGTCTCAACTTTTCTTTCTTTGATGTGTCTTTGCCTGGTTTTGGAATCAGGGTGATAATGGCCTCATAGAATGAGTTGGGAATTACTGCCTCTTTTTCTATTTCCTGAAATAAATTGTAGAGTATTGGTATTAGTTCTTCTTTAAAGGTCTTGTAGAACTCGGCTATGTATCCATCCGGTCCTGGGCTTTTCTTGGTTGGTAAGCTTCTGATGGTATCTTCTATTTCCTCACTTGATATTGGTCTGTTTAAATTGTGTATATCATCCTGATTCAATTTGGGCAAATTGTATGATTTAAGAAATTTGTGGATGCCTTCAATATTTTCTATTTTATTGGAGTATAAGTTTTCAAAATAATTTCTAATTATCCTCTGTATTTCTGTAGTATCTGTTGTGATATTACCCTTTTCCTACCTTTTTACATAACAAATATTTAAAGAATGTTACAGTGATCCTAATTTTCCCCAATGAATTGAAGATATATAAAATGAAAGTATCTTCAGATATTGAATAATAAGAAGGTAAAATTTAATTTAACAAACACCTCATGTAAAAAAAAACCCACTACTGGATTTTGTATTAAACTCTGTAGACATTTTATATAAATGGCCTTTATCACCATAAAATGCAATAGTTGTTATTAAAGAATCACCATCATTTTGGGGATCTTCTAAAAGTGATCGACAAATTTTGCTTGGTGCAACACCATCCACACTTGAAAGTCACTTTGGCATAAATGTATCCTTCCCCCCCCCCCCCCGGCCGTGTACGTATAGTGCTCAGGCTTGAACCCAGGGCCTTGTGCACGTGAGGCAAGCACTCTACCAACTAAGCTATAGCCCCAATCCTACTTTGGCATATATTTCTAAGCCTCATCATTCACAGTGAGGTCTTATGAAAGATGATTTAGTGAGTGCAAAATTAATTTAAAATTATTTAAGGTCATCACTGGGTCATGAGTCATGACTGGGTCATGGTCATGTCAAACATGACAATTCTCTTGGTTGAAAAGGAGAACTAATAAGTACCTTTTAAAAATATATTAATTTGCTTTCATAAAAGCCAGGAAAATAAACTTGTATTGAATTCTAGTTTTGATATAAATGCAAGATTGAAACCTGGAAAAATGTCATGAGTTTTACTTGACCCCCTTTCAATTTGCCACTTGTTTTTCAACTGCTTTCACCTGGAGGGCAAAATTAAACATTAATTAATTATAAAAATACATGGGCCATCATCCAGTAACCTTTCCTCCTGGACTTCCTCACTCATCACCCTGGAAAGGCATGTGTCCCCAGCTCGTCAGACATAGCTAGGGGGATAGGTCCATTCTGTCCCTATTGTAGGTGTCCCTTTCTCTGTATGTGTTCTGGAGACTTCTTCCCCAGAAACCACCTGAGCCTGCAGAAAACCTCATGTCCCTCCTCTGTTATGTTGAGCCACCACCTGCAATAAATGGTCATTTTGTCCAAGTATTGCTGAAATATAACCTGAAGAAGGACAGAATAAACCTTTGGGAACGGCTTACTTAAGAAAACCATCCAAGAGCAGCGGGGAACAAATTGCCTTCCTCATCCTTTAGAACCTCCAACAGGTCTTTTCCTTACCACAGATGAGGCTCCCACTCCACTCAAGTGGAGGATAAGTTTCCAGGGCTGGGTTCTGAGGAAACTGGCACAGGCTTTATAGGCATATGCACCACCTGCTGCAGAAAGCAGGATTTGGCGTCCTCTAGTGGCCCTAGGAGCTCAGGGCAGGATCCTTGCCTTCATTATTGCAAGGGGACCTCATGGTCCTTGGTGGCCTCCTGCTGATTCACTAGCATGGAATTATGGAATTGGACCTTTCATCTAGGTTATTCACTGTAATTATATTGTTCAGAGTATTCTCTTGGGATGACTTTTCTTTCTGTAAGGCAGAATGACCCCATGTTTAAATCTTTTATTTTGGGTATTACCTTTTGTTCTCATTGCTTCAAGGTGAAGGTTTGTTAATTTTTCTTATCTTAAAAAAAAAAAAAAAAAAACTTTGCATTTCATGGATTCTACCACAGTTTTTCTATTCTCTATTTCATTATTTCCTCTTTTTTTGTGTGTGTGGGAATTTAACCCAGGGATGCTTAACCACTGAGACAAATTCCCAGCCCTTTTTAAATATTTTAATTTAGTGTCAGAGTCTTTCTAAGTTGTTTAGGACCTCGCTAAATTGCTGAAGCTGGCTTTGAACTCATGATCCTCCCAAGCTGCTAAAATTATAGGCATGTGCCACTGTGCTCGGTCATTATTTTCATTTTTAATCTTTATTATTTCCTTCCTTCATCTAATATTGCGTTTATTTTAGAATTTTTCTAGGTCATTATCCTGTAATTGGATTACAATCATGAAGAAAATAAAAAGTCCAACAAGCAAAGAAAAAGATGGACAACATCTTTAGCCATTAGGAAAACGCAACTTAAAATCACAATGAGAGTCAAGTGAGGTAGGAGATGCCAGAGTCCCAGATACTCAGAATACGTAGGCTGAAGGAGATCATTGGGGCCAAAGAGTAAGAGAGGAGACTGGATAACATAGCAAGACCCCCATCTCAACACACACACACACACACACACACACACACTGCTACCTCAGCTAAAAGTAGCTCAAATGAAAATACTCACTACACTCTACTGAAGAGGAAAAGACAGGATCACTCACACATTACCAGTGGGAATGTAATTATGAGAGCCACTGGGAATAATTATGAGAGCCACTGGGAAGCAGTTTCTTCAAAACAAAATATGCATGCTACACTTTGGATCTTGAATGTCTTCCAAAGGCCCATGTGTTGAAGGGTTGGTCCCCAGCATGTGGTGCTGACAGTAGCTGGTGGAAATTTTAAGAAGTGGGGCCTAGTGGAAGGAAGTTTGTCATTAGCGACATGACTTTTAGGAGTATAATGAAACTCCAGCCCCTCATATCCCTTTGTTTGAGTCTGGCTGTCACTGGGTGAACAGCAACTAATGCTATGATGTAACACCCAGAGGCCCTAAAGCCACAGGACCACCGACCATGGACTGAAACTACAAGCTAAAATAAACCTCTCCATTGAAGTTGATCATTTCAGGTATTTGGACACCGTAATGGAGAACTAACTAACAATGCAAATACCATTTGATGTGTCAATTGCACACCTGAGAATTTAAGCAGAGAAATAAGACTTTAGTAATAACACCCCCAATTTTTTTTCGATTTTCATATAGCTGCCTTATTTGTAACACTAAGAACTTGATTCAACCCAAATGTCCTTTTGGACATAATAAGACCAAAAACAAAAAACAAAACAAAAAAAAACAACAAAAAACTGTGCACATCTATACCCTAGCCACCACTAAGACATGAAAATTGATACATGCAACAATATCCTGAGTGAATGATGCTCACAAAATAGGAAATACTATGCGATTGATTTGATTTTTTGTAAGATTTATGAAATTTTAGTAATGGGGGAACAGAACAGTGGTTACCAGCAGGAAAAAGCAGAGACAGGAGGAGGGAAGCTTGTTTGGCTACAAAAAAAAAAAAAAAAAAAAAAAAAAACCCACTTGTGGACTCCTCCTAGTGATGGAAACATTCTATATCCTCACTGTATTGATGGAGTTTTCTTGGTTGTGATATTGAATTTTAGTTTTGCAAGATGTTATCGTTGGGGGAAACTGAGTGCATACATGCTTTTTTATAAATGCATACAAAATACGACATATACTTAGATACAGAAACAACTGAAATATCTACCAGTAAAGTAATATTTATTTATGATGTCTCTTACACATATGCATAAAATATTATCAAGGACAAGACAAAAATAATTAGGGAAGTATAATTTTATGGGATTTCTGGTGTTTTTTTTTTTTTAACTTTACTCTTTAAATGATCACCAAGGCAAATGATACTGCAAAAAATAAAAATGCTGAAAATACAGTAGCATGAATTGAGAATACTCACAGGGGAAGTGGATAACTCAATACACCACTGACGGGAATATAACTGACACATCACTTTGGGAAACAGTTTGAAAGTGTCCTTAAAAGCAGAATGCAAAGCCAGGAATGGTGATGTGCAGCTGTAATCCTAGCTACATAGGCAGATAAGGCAGGAGGATCATAAGTCTCAGGTCAGGCTGGCCAACTTAGTAAGACTTTGTCTCAAAATGAAATGGAAAAGGACAGGAGATGTGGCCCAGTGTAGAGCACACCTCTAGCATGCCTGGAGCCCTGGCTTTAATCACCAGTACTTAAAAAAAAAAAAAAAAAGAAAAAAAAAGTTGGAACATGTATTTACCAATATGATCTGGTATTAAATGAAGGGAAATAGAAGTGTAGGTGCTTATAATGTCTTTTTCAGGAATGGTCATAGCAAATCCTTTCAAATATGCACACAAATACAGGAAACACTACAGATGTCGGTTAGCAGAAGAATGTATGAACAAACTGTACACTATTAATGCACTGCCCTGCGAGATCACAGTGCAGACACAGGAAAAGCATAAAAAACCTGAAGATACTTACTAAATCTCACACAAAAAGAGCACATAGTCTATGGTTATATTCTTTTTTAAAATACAAAATGCCATTTAATCAAAAATGATGGAAAGAAGATTCACACAGGCTTACCAAGCTTCTTTACATTCTTCAGGGAACATGTCCTTGTTTCTTCAGAATGGAAAATTTAACCATGGAAGAGTCAGGACCTGAAAGGACAAACAATATGGTTAACTCCCAGGACAGAAAGGAAGGCCTAGTCACCCTGCTTTGTAAGTTAGGTTGACAGGTACAAAAACATCTGTGCACATTTATGGTGACAGAGCATTCAAAATATCCCACATCTACTCAGAAATATAAAAACCAGCCTAAAAATCATTTCAGGAAAAAAGAAAAGACTGAAAGAGCACAATAACACAATTCGATTTACCCAGGCATCCCAGGCTCAGAACAGTTACAATGTTTCTGTGGGATCCTTGCACAGGACTCTAATTTTTACAAATCTTTTCACCCCACCCCAACCCTCACCAATTCGGTAGCCCTTGTCTCTAAGATCCTGCCAAAGTTAATCCTCTTTGGTTTAGGTGAGGTCACAAGGTGCTTTCACAGATTCTGGAATTTCCTTAAAGGGCAATAAAAGGTCAACCACCTGTGTGAATGTCACACACCTGGGTGGAGGCCCAGGCAGAGGCACCTTTCAGACTGTGCAAGGCACTTGACACTCAGTTTGTAGTAAACACATGTTGGAGGAGGGATGGACACATACACATTCCATGAAAGCTGTGTAGGGCTCTAGCAGCAGCAGTGTGCACGGCACCTAGAGGAGATGCTCCCACCTGCACCATGTGCAGGTCAACAGACAGCCCCAGCTGGAGCAAAAAAGGAGGCTGAACAAGAACAGGAGCAGGCCCCCCAACCAAGCAGCAGCCACCTGAACTCTGTCTCAAAAAGTTGCTCAGGGTCTCCCTGATTGGAGAAGAAAATTTACTGACCAACTTCTCTGCATGATGACCACAGTCAAAATTGTATATTTCAAAATTTCTAAGGGATTTAAATGTTCTAACCACGAAGACCAAAAGGTAAGTTAGGGAGGCAGTGGGTATGTAAATGAACTGAATCATTTGCAATGTATACATATGTCAAAAAAAAAAAAAAAAAAAAACAATCCCACAAAACCAAGGCCAAATGATTTCTCTAATATGTGCATGCTAATTCACAATAAGGTGCAGAATCTTTTTAGTTGGATGCTTGTGTATGTGTATATGTGCACAGCAAAGAAAATAAGAGTATGAAGACAGCCTACAGAATGGGAGAAAATGTTTGTCAGATACCCTTCCAACATGGGATTAGTAACCAGAAATATTATAAAATGTTATATATTGACAATAAAAAATCTAATGAATCCAATAAATGGGCAAAAAAATCTAAACAGATTTCTCAAAAAAAATTCAAATGGCCAACAAACATATAAAAATATGTTCAACAAAGATGCCAATCAAACTAAATTGAAACCAGGCACAGAAGCACGTACCTATAATCCTAGCGGCTTCAGAGGCTGACAGGAGGATTGCAAGTTCAATGCCAGCCTCAGAAATATGGTGAGACACTGTCTCAAAATAAAAAATTAAAAAAGAGGCTGGGTATGTGGCTAAGTGGGTAAAAACTCCTGAGTTTAATCTCTGGCACAAAAACCTACACTGAGATTTCATGTCACCCTGGTCAGAATGACAATCATCAAGAATACAAATGATAATTGTTGGTAATGATATGGGGGGAAAATGTACATTTATACATTGTTGATTTGACTGCAAATTACCGCTACCACTTTGGAAAGCAGTATGGTGATTCCTCAAAAAACTACAAATGGATCCATTCTTATGGCCCATCTATCACACTCCTTGGTAGTTATGATATAGATTTAAAGTCAACATACTAAAATGATATATGCATAAGAAAGTATATATTAGCACGATACACAATAGACAAGTTATGGAACCAGCCTAGGTGCCCACCAATAGATGAAAGGATAAAGAAGATGTATATATAAACACAATAGAGTTCTACTCAATCATGAAAAAAAATGAAGTTTTGTCATTTTCTGGTAAAGGGATGGAACTGGAGAATGTCAGGCCAAGTAAAATAAGCTAGTCTCAGAAGGTCAAACATCAGGGGCTGAGGCTGGGGCTGGGGCTCAGTGGTAGAGTGCTTGCCTAGCATGCATGAAGCACTGGGTTCGATCCTCAGCACCACATAAATGTAAAATAAAGATACTGTGTCCACCTTAAAAAAAAAAGAAAGTCACGCATCAAATGGTTTCTCTCATAAGTAGAATCTAAGGAGAAAAGAGGGGTAAACTTGCAAAAATAGAATTGAGAGTAGGAGAGTAGAAGCAGGAAATCGAGGATCAGGGAGGACAGGAGGCAAACGGGAAGAACTAGGGAATAAGCTGACATGCATTTATGAATATATCATAATGTATTTCAATTTTATATGTAATTATAATGCATCAATTCAAAAATTAATGAGTAAATAAATAAATAGATGGATGAGACATTTAAGCATACAACTTATAACTATAAAAATCCCAAGAGAAAAACTAAGGGAAAGCTCCATAATATTGCTCTTAGCAATGACTTTATGACCGTGACTCTGAAAGCACATGCAGAAAAGCAAGAAAAACCAAGTGATATGACATCACACCAAAAGCTTCTGCACAACAAGGAAAACAAGCAACAAAATGAGAAGGCCAAATAGTGGGAGAGACATTGCAAAGCATATACTTGATGGTGGCTAACACCAAAAATATATAAGCAACTTATACAATTCAATTTCAGATCAAACGTACAGAAGCTACTATAGTTAATAATAATGTAGTGTGCAACTGACATGGCTAAAAGAGAACGTCTGCAATTTTCCTAACACACACAAAAAATTGGTAGGTGTTTGAGGGGATGTGTATATAAATTAGACTGATTATGTAATCATTTCACAATGTATATGGATAACATATACCATCTTTTGAAACACATACCATCTTTCCAAAGTAAAGGAAATTTTGAAAGACAAATAGCTACACCTGTTTATTTCAGTATAGCAAAATAAGATAATCACAGTTTTCAGAATTATCAGCTAATCTATGTTCACTTCTCTTATTTAAGTACATACCTTATTTCTCACCTTCAAGAAGATCAGGATTTTGATACACCTCAGGAAAAGGAGAGAATCAACCAAGCATGCTCATTTTTCTGAAAAACATAATTATTTCAGGACATTTAACTTTAATATAAAAACTTTGGTGAAAATAGTACCATTAAGATATAGCCATACATTTTGGTATGGTAGTGAAAACCTGTAAACCCAGTGACTCAGGAGACTAAGATAGGAGAATCACAAGTTCAAAGTCAACCTGGGCAACTTAGTGAGACCTTTTCTCAAAAAAGAAAACATAAAGAGGGGGAGAGAGGGGGGGAGGGGTGAGGGAGGGGTGAGGGACGAAGGAGAGGGAGAGGGAGGGGGGTGAGAGAGAGAGGGAGGGAGGGAGGGAGGGAGGGAGGGAGACAATCATTTCTTATTGTGCTTGTCAATGTACATGCTGTTTTGTAAATTATACCTGTCATTTAGTTTTACCTCCATAGATTCTAATTTGAAAGTCCTATCTTCTGACATGGACATTAGGGTCTTTATTTTAATGACACTCCTACTTAAACACTCCTACCTTGGGTCCAGCAGCACTCATGATGGAGGAAGACATTCTCGAGTTTCTACTGGTCTATATGTAGGACAACAGATCTAGATTCCAACCTTCAATTAATTAAAAAATATTTAAGTCTGGGCTGTTCAAAGCACAGCCAAGATGGGTTTAGAATGCTGTTTCTCAGACTGGAAACAGAAACTTTATCAGAAAGCTCAGTATAATTCCTTTCTATGGGCTTGGCCTCACCCAACCTGCTGAACCAACTGAGAAATCCACCAAGGAAGGGCAGGCCCCAGCACTAAGCCTCCTACCTGAGTCCATGGCCCTGCATCAAAACCTATGGTATAGCAAAAGAAGTTTAATGAGAGACGTTTATAGCAGTGAACATCCACATCAAAACAGATCTAAGATGACAAAAAGCTAATGCAACACAACAAAGAACTATAAAAAGAACAAACTAACCCAAAAGTTCATTAAAGGAAGGACATAATAAATATCAGAGCAGAAATAAATAAAATAAAAACTATGGAAACAATTGAAAAAGATCAACAAAACTAAAAGCAGGTGTTTAAGAAAAAGTCAGCAAACATTCAGCTAGGTGAAGAGAAAAAAGGGAGACTTAAATGAAATCAGAAATAGAAAAAGAGACACTGCGTCTGACATAACAGAAATACAGAGAATCATAAGAAACTCCTGTAAAGAGACCACTACTATACGCCAGCAAGTTCAATAATCTAGCAGGATACATACAATGCAATCTACCAAGATGAAATTATGAAGAAATGGAAAACTTAGTGTAATACTGAGTAAAGATGCTGAATAAATAATGAAGAGTCTCCTATAAAGAAGAGGTCAAGACTTGATGGCTTCTGTGCTGAATTCTAACAACCCTTTAAAAAAGTATTCAGGGTGAGGGCAGTACTCAGTGGTAATGTGCTTGCCTTTCCTGGCTAAGACCTAAGTTTAATCCCTATGTCTGGAAAAAAAAAAAACTGAAAACTGAAACAAAGAGTACTAATTTACCAATTCTTCTCAAATTCTTCTAAAATACTGAAGAGGGAATCCTTCCAAACTCATAAGCACAGAACTATTCTGATGCCACAGCCATGCAGAGACACTACAAAAGCAAACAAAAACTACTATAGACCAATATACCTGATGAACATAGATGCATAAATATTCAACAAAATGCTACTGAACCTAATCTAATAGCACACCAAAGTGATCATTCACCACCAATAGATGAGATTCATCCCAGGGAGGTAACGATGTTTCAACGTGTGTAAATACATAAAGGTGATATTCTGTAGTAAAGGAATCAAAAACAAAACTCACAGCTCCATTTAAATAACTACAGAAATCATTGGGTAAAATTCTATATCTTTTAATGAAAACCTTCATAAATTAGAAATAAGAGAAATGTGCCTCAACCAAATAAAGGCAATGGATGACAGACCCAAAACAACATCACACTGAATGGAGAAGAGCTGAAATAATTTCCTGTAAGATCAGGAACAAAACAACACTGTTGTTCAATATACTATTAGAAGTGTTGGTCACAGAAAGAGGTGAGAATAAAAGAAATGGTGTCCAAATAGGAAAGGAAGAGGTCTAATTACCCCTGTTTGCAGATGCCATGATCATATATATATATATATATATATATATATATATATATATATATATATATATATATATAAAACCCACATTATAAACATCTGGGCTGCAGGCAGCCCCTGATTTACATGTCTCCTGGTTTCTCAAGGCTCCCATCAAACTGGCTGCACATGGAGGTAATGGACCAACAGCTCCTAGAGGCCCCCTCAGCCAGCAACACCCATGAAGCACACCTTTATAACTGTTCCCACCCCAGAGCTGCCCTTACCCCGCTCTGCCATTGCTTCTTTGCTTCTTCTTATTTTATGTATATATTTTGTTAAATTTAGCTTTTGAAAAAATTTCATTCATTTTTAAAAGATTCAGTTTATTGGCATTAAATACATTCTCAAAACTCTGCACTAGTCACCACTATGTTGTTCCAGAACATTTTCCTGAATTGGGTATCTATAACCACTCCCTCTCCCCTGGCCCCTTAGTCCCCAGCAACCCCTGATCATTCCAGCCCTGTGATATGCCTAGTCTGCATTTTTCAAATCAGTGCAGTCTCTTTTCTCTTAGGTCACATAATTTTGGAAATTTCCTTAGTAGGGTAAATGCTACACAGGTCTAAGTTTATTATTTTTTAAATTTTTATTGTTTTGGTACTGAGGTTGAACCCAGGGCACTTTACCACTTAGCTATACCCCTCATCATTTTCCTTTTGAATTTTGAGACAGGGTCTTGGTCAGTTCCTGAGGATCTCTCTGAGTTGGTAGGGCTGCCTTCAAACCTACAATCACCTTGATCAAAGCAGTGTTATTTGGAAATTTAAAAAAAAAAAAAAAACCCTCTATATGCAATGCCTGGAGAACAGATAAATCAGATGCATAACAGTTACACCAGGGAAAATTATACAACATTGAAAAATAACAATGTCTAGCTCCATGTCGTTGAGCAGGTAAATCTCAACAACACTGCTGAACAAAAGAGTACACAGAGAAATCATTTATGGTAATATCGCAAATAAGCCAAACCAAAATAAATAAATAAATAAATAAAGCACTCGGAAACACATTCTCACCGCAGACTGTAAAGAATAGTGAGGACAAAAATGGATATTTTTCAGGCTAGTGACAACCTCTATGAGAAGAAAGAGGTTAGAGAAAACCCAGAGAAGGCTTCCACCTGTCCCAAGACCAACTTATTGTACTTAATATACTAAGCATATACATTGTCAGGTTTAATTAATAATATCCAACAACTTATCTGCAAGATTTATAAAATCATATCTTACTATGGGCTATTGTCTTCATTCTTCAATATTAACAGAAGATGGGTCCAGTGTGGAGGTACTTTGTGCTTTTTTCATATCACAGGACTCAAAAATGATCCACAGAGGGGAGGGGGTTGTGACTCAGCAGTAAAGCACTTGCCTAGCACATGTGAGTCCCTGGGTTTGATCCTCAGCACCACACAAAAATAAATAAGAGGTATTGTGTCCAACAACAATCAAAAAAAAAACAAAAGTATTTTAAAAAATGATCCACAGAGATAAGGTAAACAACTGGAAAATCATTTTAGAAGACCTATTTTAAGGAAAAAAGCCTTTATTCCTACCTGTGCTTTTGTTCCTTCTCTCTCCAATGGACTGGCTTCTCTAGAAAATAATGCCATATGAAATTCTGTCATCCAAAGTCCAATTTTAAGTACTGAATCCCTGACTCAGCGGTTACTTCACGCTAAACATAACTCACTGTACAGACTCGGGGCTGCCCTCTTTGTATAGCTCAGGGAGCTTCAGTTTCTTAAAATGTTACCTTTTAACATATATAAATATGTAGCCTCTCAACTGGATACATTTCTGTTAATAAGTTACTTAGTTCTTTGAATAAGAGGCAGCAAACAACCACAAGGTATATTCACCAGTATTTTAACTGGCAGATTTAAAGACCCACAAGTGCTTGCCCATCTGGAAGGGAAGGAGGTGCTAATTAATACTCCCCAGACCTGGATGGCTTTGGTCAAGAAATATGACTGGCAGTCACTGGCTGCAATGAGGAGGGGAGGGGAAATAAACTCAAAATAAATAAGAGTTGACAGGACAATCTTAAAATCAGTACATGGAAGAGCAAGAAGGGATTCCAGGGGTACCACTAACATCTGATTGGGAACTCCTGGGACTTGATCAGAACCATCCTCAGAAGCAGGACCAAGGACAGGTATGAGATCTCACCTACCTCTTAGCTGAGGATGGAGACTTGACCACAATGACTGCATTCCTATGATCTGGGATCTGTGATAGACAAGAGGTTGGGGATTACCACTATGTCTCTAATAGGTCATGCTGACAGTCAGTGAAAAGCAATGCTCCAAGATTCAAAACTGTCCTCTGATTCCTTGGAAGTTTTGCAAAAAGAGAAGTTCAAAACAAAAGTCTCCTTTGGAAATGGAAGGAATGCCTACCTAGGATGAAAGTATTACTAAGGTATGAGACACACAGATTCCTTTTAAGAAAAAAATAGGATAATCAGTGATTAGCTCACATCTCTATGCGAACACATAACTGTTATAAAGGTGCTTCTATAAAGTCAACAGAAAATCCCCTCATGACTCCCAATTACATGCAATTTCACAGTATAATGAGGAGAGTCACCCAATTCAAATCCCAGTTAACTGTCAAATTCCAAATTAGTGTGGTACACAGATGACTATTTCAACATGTTGTAGTTCCCGTATGCTAAAGAAACAAACTTCTGAAAGGGCAATCATCCTTGTACTATTATAAAAAAGATCCCTAAAATAAAAAGCAAACAAATCCAATTAAAGTATTAGCTGCTGCTTTGGAATCTTTTTCTTTGGAGGAGAGAGGGTGAGGGTTCCTCAGTGCTATACCACTGATCTGTCCCCAGCCACTTTTTCAATTTTGTATTTTGAAACAGTTCTAAGTCACCAAGATGAACTAGAACTTGCAATCCTCCTACCTCAGTCTCCCAAATTGCTGGGTTTATGGGCATGTATCATGATACCTGACCTTGATGAGATCCTTAAAACTCATGAAATAAAAGTGAGAATAAGTGTGAAAGCATCAAAGTAAAATATTCTGTACAGGAGAGAAAACAATTAAGAGTGTAAAAGAGAGCCTACAGAATCAGAGAAAATGTATGTCAGATACACTTCCAACAGGGTATGAATAATCAGAAATATTACATAAATATTATACGCTAACAATTGGAAAACCTTAATGAGCCAAATAAATGGTCATAAAAAAATCTAAAGGGAGATTCCTTAAAAGAAAAAAATCAAATGGCCAACTAACATGATGCTGGGTATTCTGCAGTGGGGGAGCAAATCGACTCCCAACTGAGGCCACAGCATCTACTTAACTCACCGTGTGAACTCAGGCCAGACCCTTCCCTCCTCTAGGACATACCTATTCCTGTCTGATCAGGAGGCAGGACCAAGAGTGTCACAGACATTTGTGTGGATCTGGTGCCTTCACCAGACTCCCAACCAAGCCCACTTCTGTTAGTCATGGCACCTCACATTCCCTTTGGGGATCCACTCCTCCCCCCACATCCATGCAGTGAAGACAGGCTAATTACACTTTCTGACTCTGGGGAGATGAGACAAAAGGATCTCACATTTGAGGAAGGATGAGAGACCCAGGTATGTGGTGCGTGGCACTGTTTCCATGCCTGTGCCAATGGAAGCACATACATGCTGGGAACACAAGGCCAGGCTGCACCAAGCAGGGCACACCTGCACCTACCTGGGAAAACAGTAACCTGGGATTCTGCAGCACCACCCTGCCCAACACTGCCCAGCCTGGGGAACTATGCAGCAGAAGGCCTATGTGTCCAGAAGGCCTATGTGTCACTTCCTCTCTAACCCTTCACTGGACAAGTGGGAAACTGAGGCCCAGTGTCACATAGGGACTGGCCCAGACACTAGGACAAGGACAGACTCCAGAGGAAAAGGCAGAGTCCTCACTTCCTAGCTCAGGGCTCAGTCATCTCCCATAGTGTTTCCTTTGGATTAAGAACTTCTATGATCCTGGGGACACCTGCCTGCCTTTGCCATGTGACAGTATTTTTTTCAGCCTCCCAATAGGTACAAAAACAGAGAGGCAAACACGTGGAGATCAGAGAGTAGGTTAGAGAAAATGGAGGCCCCATGAGGTGACATGCAAAAGGAGAAAGAGGCCAGGCATGGTGGTGCACGTCTGTGATACCAGCAGCTTGGGAGGCTGAGGAAGGAGGATCACAAGTTCAAAGTTAACCTCAGCCACGCTGTGACAACCTGCCTCAAAATAAAACACAGAAAACCAGGTTGGTGATGTGGCTTAGGGGTTAAGCGCCCCTGGGATCACTCCCTGAGACCAAAAAACAAAAGAAGAAAGAAGAGAGAGACAGCACTTCCATGAAATAAGGGCAGTCCGTCTCCATGTACCCTGACTGGGACACAGAGAAGGGAAAGGGGGAAAAGGCCAGAATTTCATTGTTGGGGGTCCCTAAGGTGCCCAGGGATGTGCTTACTCTCAGTCATCCCAAAGAGAACAAGGTAACAAAGTGGGTGGCTCTGGGAGGTGAGGACATCCCCACTAATCGCATTTCAAATCCCTCAAGATGCAGACGGAGAAAGAAGGCCAGGAAGGGAAACAGCATTTTCAAAGTCATGAGGTGGGAGACTAGGCCTGTTCTTGGCTCTACTCTATGTGACAGTTTACCTGTTTCCATATTTTCGCTCTACTTTTGTGCATTATAGACATGTGACAACATGGTTTGTGTCATCTCACACATGCCTGGTGATATTGCTAGGAAGTAGATTCTAGGATGATACCACTGTGCAGGGGAACACTGGTTAAGCCTTAGAGACATGATGACTTGTCCAAAGTCCCATGAGAGGACAGGAGGAGGAGCTGGGTTGAAACCTAGCTGTGTCTCCTCAGAGCTGGGACCCTGGTGCACCCAGGCCTGTCAAGGGATATGGGGCCAGTGTTGGGGTTGGCTGTGTACACACATAAAAAGTCATGGGGCTGGAGGAGAGCCAACAGAGGGACAAACATGGGCTTATCTGGAGGATGGGTTAGGCCAGGAACCCCAAGACATGGCCTCTCCCTTCCTTGGTCATAGAGCCAAACAGAACTTGGAACCCAGTAACCAGGCACCCACATTCTAGCAACAGCCTCCTCCCAGCTCATTTGGTGAAATACTTTGAAAGCCAAAACATGTTTTCCTGTTTCCCCTGTGGAGGCCGACTCGGTAGGAGGCCCCGCCGCCAGAGCTCCCCCTATGGCTGCACGGCCCCTTCCCCAGACCCAATCCACTGGACACCCAAAAGAAGAAACTTTTGGAAACAACTGCGAAGTTGCTTCATGTGCTGCTGCCTGTGCCTCGCTGATGGTCCTCCTCCAATTGGCACTCCTGAAAGTGGGAGGAGTAGCTTTAGGTCCACACCTGATAGCCCTGGTGAGGTACATCCAGGAGAGAACACCACTGTGAGTAGCCCTGCAGAGTCCCACCACCTTGCTCCTCAGTAGGGGAGAACAGGGACCTGAGGCAGGAAAAGGTGGTGGGAGATTGTGAGCCTCGTGTCCTATCATGGTCACCCCCAGGACAGGGAAAAAGGTGGGGAATGAAAGTGTCCACGGTACGGCCTGGGCACCCAGTGTCATTTCCTGTCCTACAGGGTAAAACCTGAGACACAGGGTCTGTATTAGGTCGGGGGAGCAGAAGGCCACAAGAGACACAAACACCCTGAATGGAGGCGAGCAGGGGCTGGGGCTCCCGGCCAGCTACCAGGCACTGTCTTCCATTCTTTCCACAGTTTATCCTCAATAAGCACTGGAGCTGCAGCTTCAGCTCCAACCCCACGTCCACTGAGGAATATCCAGAGCCAAGCACCAATGGGCAGGAGCTGGGCCTCAGGATAAGTGCGGGACAGGGGGGACTCTACTGGCAGGGCACAGAGCAGAATAAAAGTGAATAAGAGCACAGACACCACCAGGACCACCTTCCTGATAGGGATGGGAGGTGGAGGGGCAGAGTCCCCACCGTGAGGAATCTGAACAACAAATCCTCACCCATCCTCCTCACCCTCTCTGCCTGCCTCGTTCTTGGACTCATCCAAGGTCACAATTCCCATATTTGTAACAACAACAGAACAGCAACAGGGACATTATTTCATTTTAATTCTCTGATGATTCGTACTCTGCCATCCAACTGACTATAACTCCTACACCCAGGTGTCCAGGTGGCAATGGCCTGACGGTCCTTCCACACTCTCTCCAAGTCTTACACAGCATCAGGATTACTAGGGCTGCGTTTAGCTGAAATATCACAAGGCTCCTGCCAATTGGTCCACTTCTCTGATACTTGCTGCCTCAAGGAACACACCCCAGACTGTGGAAGCAGGAGCTGGGCCCCCAGGGCCTCACCACTTTCCAGGGGGACCCAGGTTCCACAGTCATTCAGCCTTTCAGGGCTATGGGACCTGGACCTCATTCCGTTCTGGAGCCATTTCAACAGCACCACAGAGAATGATGTTCTGGGTGTCCTCACACAGGGACCCTCCTGTCTGGGATGAGCCCGTTTTCCCATCTCCAGAAGGTGGTGTGCTGGTGGGACTCAGGGGATAAGCTCCTAATGCACAGAGCTGCCACCTCTGCTCAGATAACAAACTGGCCTGAAGCTGCTGTGTTTCTAACTATCCCCTCAGCAATTCCTCTTTGAACTCTGCCAGCCATTGCCCTGCTGGGGCTCTCCTGCCCCTCTGTGGGACAAGCCCCTATGTGCTTTGGATATTGCACTGGACTCCATCCCCAGACACTTCTGGTGGATCACTTTGGCACTGACTATATGTTTCCTCAATGTCCCAACCAAGAAGGTGGCTACAGAGGGGATGATACCAGCACTGGATATGTGTTCCAGGCGTATTCCCCAGGGGACCTGGAGGAGACCCTGGAGCCCGCCTTCTATGACTCTTTCTCTTCGGCCTCAAACATCTCGAGTTCCTCCATCCAAGAGGAGATGGGCCAAATGTTGGGAAGGTAAGCCCTGCCCAGGGTGACAGGGTCACATACAGCTGTGGGTCCTGATACTGGCCCTGTGACTCTCTGAGCTTCAGCCCTCTCCTCTGAACTGTGGGGTGCCAAGATCACTGACCTCATGGTAGGAAAGGCCAGGCCTCTCATAGTGCTGCCCCCCCCATCCCTCTTGGGTGGTCTCCTCACTCCCTCACTTGCATTTGCCTCACTACCCACTTGGTAATGTCCACAGCCAGGTCACTGTCACAGGCCCCGAGGAGGAGGACCAAGGACACCAGGTCCCAGCCTTGACAGAAAACCCTGAGCCC